ATCAATATTTAAAATTTTATTAAAAATTTTAAAATATGCAGGCAAATTTGCCTGTGTTACAATCTAAGGGATAACATAGACCGTAACGGTAAGTATACATTATTGGGCAAAAATTTGTAAATAATGGCAATGAATACGTGCCGCAAAGCGGCATATACAGCCAATCATTTGCTAAATTACTATATTCGCAAATTTGTCTAATAATGGTGTTATCTGGCAATTTATGATCATGATTGGTAGGGAGTGGTTGACTGAATAAACACGATTATATCGTATTACATAAAAAAAATAACGTACAAAAATTTATTTATGATCATACAGTCTTGGATATTACCAAATATAGAAATTAATCTACTATTAGTAAAAGACTATTTTAGAACCGATTTATATAGTATTTTTGTTTTTTTTAAAAAAAAAAATTGTTTAATAACTAGGAAAACAGGTACTGTTGTAAGTCCGAAGCGAATTAAAAAATTGTCTAATTATTTATATGATTGATCACATAGGTAGACAGATAGACAAAATTCTGTTTAGACCTCTAGTATGTGCAGATCATCACAACATAGTCACGTGCTAGACAAACAGACATTTTTTAAGTTTTACTTGTATATGTAAGTTCTCGCTATGCTTCAGACAATAAATTCTCGAATTAATTTTAATATAAATCGTCCTATGATTATGTAGTCTAAGAATCTGCTATAATCTCAATGACTTTAAAAGGTAGTTGTTTATCAAATAAGAAAACAAATGATGATTGGTGTAAATTTAGCCTCAAAGATTTTTATAGACTTAAATGGAAGTCTCAAGAATTTTCTAATCGTACAAAAAAGGGGAATCACTAAAACCTTATACCCACATAACTTTCGAAGTTTTAATTGTAATTAGGGTTAGGGTTAGTTTATTGTTAGGGTAAAAACAGATATATAGGTAAAATTCCCTTCCCGACATTTTTTATTAATGTACCAAGACAGGTTTAGACTGCTATTTTTCATATTTTTTCATTTTTTTGATTTTTTGATTTCTTCAGACTGATCTGTGTAAACAAAATCTCATGATTTTGATTAGTGATCTACATAGAAAAAGTCACGTGGATACAAGGCTTTAGCAGACCCTCAAAAAAGGGGTGATCTGCAACATCCAAATTTGAGAGATGGCTAAAGCCAGGTGTATTTATATGTTTTTTAATATTTAATTAATATTAGGGTAAGGGTTGGTAAGAAGTTAAGGTTAAGGCAAGGCTTATAAGTAAAATTGTCTTCCTGCCATTTTTTATTAGTACCCTGAGGCAGGTTTAGACACTCATTTTCTTTATTTTTTGTGTTTTTCACTTTTTTTCTTTGTTTTTGTCTTGTCAGGCTGATCTGGATAAATCAAAATTTATTATTTGATTGGCTGTTGGTCACGTAAACATACCTGGTTTTAGACGACCCCCAAATTTGGTAATATCCAAGACTGTTATAAGAGTTTGCCGATTTATTATATCGATGACCTTTATAGATCGCGAGTATGTACCTAGAGATGATCATTCCAATAACCAATCAAAATAGTGAATTTTTGTTTACATGATGATGTAATTAATCTACATCATGCATTTCAATAATAAATAACCAAAAAAATAGATCAAGTAAACTTTATTGCTGATATCATACAATGAAATACTTAATTGCTGATAATACAAGAATATATTTATTCTTGATAACGCAACTAAAAACTTTCATGCATTAGCAAAAGTTAATCTGATAATTGCTGAAGTACTTAGTACTTCATTGGTCAAAGAATATCCAAGATTTTCTTGATGGTTGTGTTTTATCAAATAGGTATATTACTTGTCACAACTAGTTATTATCCATGTTATTTGGTAGTTGCATATCAGCAAGAAAGTATATATTGTTGTAACTAGTAACTGTTCGTGCATGAGCGATAGTTAATTCGATGATTGCTGAAGAACTTAAGGGTAGTAAGTACTTCATTGAATCAGAGTTATTTCTTGGTAATTACGTATCAGCAATTTGTTGTATATCCAAGTTATCTTGGTTGTTATATGTTAGCTAAGTATAATAAGCGAGTTATTATTTATGTTATTGATAATTAATTTAAAACGTATAATAATAATAATAATAATTTTTATGCTATGGTCCAGATATTCTGTAGTTTGTAATACTGGGGTTAATTGATCATAAAACGCGATCAAATGTAAACAATGCAAAAGTAAATAAGAGTACGATCTAAAAGGACGAATGAAGACTTAGGATTTCTATCCCTTATCGATTCGGTTATTGGAAAATATAAAAGCTGCTGAAACATCGACTATATGAAGTTTAGTGTTAAAAATTCTTTGTGCATATATTTGTGCGGAATTTTTAATACTGATATTAAAAATAACATAAGATCGCCCCAGAATACTTTATTTTTTTTATTGATTAGCTTTTATTTTGTATTGCGCATTTTTTTATTGATTATGAACTTTAATAATATGAGCTTAAATCGACCTAAATCGTGAAATGTAATTGAATACTACGCACGTGAACGATAGGTTGTTTATTTCCTGTAACTAATTGATGTTGTATAATTAGTGATGATAATTCTTTTTCAGACTCCCTTCCAAAAGCAACAAATCGTTTGTTTTGTCCTGATGTTGATTGTACACTTGAAAAGGATCTTGAAAAATGATTTTGGGATCTTTGAAATTAAGGTAAACAGACTATAGTATATAGCCCTATATTTACTATGTATTCAATAAAAATCAACCAATCAACGTTGGTTTTGCAATAATCACATTTTTTGTGATTGGAGTCAAATTCGCCCATATGCTTTACAAGAAACTTTAAAAAAATATTTACAACACATTACTACATTTGATTTAAAATATTATGAATTAAATAATCCATTCACATTATTTATTATTTGACCCAAACATACTGCAGTATTGTATCTATCTAAATTAGTTATTTCATATTTGTCTACAGTTTATCAAGCTGTGAACTTTTTTAAAAATCATTCTAGTCATATATCGTAGTGCTCAAATTCTACGTAGTAAATCTCCATTGTTACCAGTAAAAGGTTCGCACATTTTAGAATCTTGAAAACTATTTTGGGATCTATGAAATTAAGATTTATTGAGCGTAAGTACAGATTTTCAAACCATTATATTAAAAAACAAAAAGCAGAGGCTTCGTAAAAGTAAATAGCACTTTAACTATTATATTAATAAACAAACCTTTGGCATTGCGACTAGTAAAAGTTTTGCCTATTTTGGGATCTTAAAAAACCATTTCAGGATCTTTGAAATTAAGATCTTGTTGCGTGTAAATACAAATTTTCAACCCGCAATAATAAAGAAAAAAAAATGCAGGGGTGTTGTAAAAGTAAATAGCATTTTAACTATTATACATACGTGTTCTAAATAAATCAACCAATCAATGTAAGACAAATTCGCAATAGTCACAAATTTTACTAATTTGATTGGTACAAATTGTGATAATCATATTCGAAAATACCAAAAATATCAATAATTTTTTTTATACATTTTACTTTAAAAGCTTGGGTAGCTTAATTTTCTATGAAATGAGAATAAATTTAACGGATGAATTGATATTTTTGCTTCGCCCTATAACATATTTCTTGAATCCCTGTGAATCCCACAACTTTTTTTGCAATCTGATTGGCCGATTTGCTAAAATTCGAGATACGATCAAGTGTAATTATATTGAAATCATCTACGAATTTGAACGGTCGTTCCTGTTGGTCCGATCTCTAAGATTAATAACCGGGTTTGGGGACCCTCGCACTATGCGAAATGAAATGACAAATTATGCGATGCGATTACTAATTTAATAAAAATTAAATATAAATTTCTATATATATTTTCGAGTCTCATTTACCTTTTAAACAAAATGGATGATGGAAGGATGATAACGGATTATGGACTATAGCGATAGGAATTTGTCTTTCTTGTCATATATCGTTACTACGAACTCTCCTAAACCTTAGATTATCGAAAGCCAATCAAAGCCCGGTAGATCGTTCTGGAAATGTTCTAGAATCGATCTCCGGTAAAATCCCTGACTGAAATAATAATCGCTCAGCAAACTTTAAATGTCAACGATACAAAGCGATATATTACCACAGATGACCGAGCAAATTTCTTTACAAGATGGTAAGTTAAAATCTCACTGTAGTTTTTAAAGTACTCATTACTGTATCTCTAACATTAAACTTACGAATTTTTATGCCAAGAGTAGATATAGTATATGTTGACGAGACCAATGGCACCGATGATTCTGGTAATGGAACCCAAGATAAGCCTTATAAAACGATTGTTTACGCTCTTCAAGTAAAAGGCAACGACATAAAGATATTAGTTCAAAAAAATCCTGAGGAAGGATACAAAGATGTTTCAGGCGCAGCTTTGAAGAAGGCCAAAAAACGAGTTGATGACCTGGCGAAAAAAGCAAAAAAAGAGCAACTTATATCTGAAGAAAAAGCAAAAAAAGAGAAACTTATGTACGAAGAAGAACAAAAAAAGCTTGAAGAAGCAAAAAATATTATTTTAACACAAGATCCTACCCTTTCACCAGGTTTAAAGGTACGTGTCACTATGACATTAATTGTGGAACAAGTAAATTGAAACGAAACATGTAATTAATTCATTCAGATAAAAATTGGCGATGCAATTGCCAATCGTGGGAAACGCGTTAAAGTGTCTGGATGGGTCCATCGTCTACGAACACAAGGAAAGGATATGAAGTTCGTTATACTAAGAGATGGATCTGGTTACCTTCAATGTATTCTTACCGGCAGATTAGTAAGAAATTATCAAATTTTTATTAAAATCTTATAAAAATTTATTAAATATTCATCAAATACATTTATTAGTGTCATACATATGATGCTTTGACTTTGTCACTTGAATCAACAATTACAGTGTACGGTGTCATTACTGAATTGCCACCTGGAAAGACGGTAAAATATGGTTAAAATTTTGTAATTTGTCATTATTATCAACTATTTACTAGAATCGAAAAAAATATAGGCTCCAGATAATCATGAACTCCTTGCAGATTATTGGGAAGTTAATCATAAAGCACCGGGTGCCGAAGATGCTTTCACCAATAAATTAAATGTCGAATCTGATCCTTCTGTATTGTACGAACAGCGGCATCTTGTCATTCGTGGCGAGGTTGCTTCAGCTGTACTAAAAGTTCGGTCACAAGTAATGAAAGCGTTTCGTGATTATTTCGATTCTAAAGGATTCATCGAAGTTACCCCTCCTTGTTTGGTACAAACTCAAGTTGAAGGTGGAAGTACTTTATTCGAATTGAATTATTATGGCGAAAAGGTGCGACATGCTAATTCTTTTTTCAATGACTGTGTTTAAATATTTCTCCTAACTTTCAATCATTAAATAGGCTTATCTTACTCAATCATCACAATTATATCTCGAAACATGTCTTCCATCTCTTGGTGATGTATATTGTATTTCGGAATCATATCGAGCAGAAAAATCTCATACTCGTCGACATTTATCTGAGTAAATGTTTTTTTTTTTTATT